CTCTCTCTCTCTCTCTCTCTCTCTCTCTCTCTCTCTCTCTCTCTCTCTCTCTCTCTCTCTCTCTCTCTTCGTTTCAAGCGCATGCATGAACCTGCGAAAGTTGTGTGAAACGAGAAGGATACATTCCCGAAAAATGATAAATGGAAAAAAAAAAAAAAAAAAACGCCAAACAAGACAACTACAACTCCATGTTTTGAAAAAGACAGAAGTACACCATTGCACATGCATGTGGCAACAATTCTTCACGGGCCCTTCGTTAAGGTCGTCTTCTATTTCTGTGTTTCAAAATTGTTCGTTGATTGGTTGATTGATTGATTGATTGATTGATTGATTGATCATTGATTGATTGATTGATTGATTGATTGATTGATTGATTGATCGATCGATGGATCCATTGATCGATTGATCGATTGATCGATTGATTGATTGATTGATTGATCCCTTGCTTCGATCAAGCAATCAACCAGTCTGTCACAAAGCTACACACACACACACACACACACACACACACACACATGATCGTCGTTTGAAGCGCGCTCATGAACCTGCGAAAGTTGCGTGAAACGAGAAGCATACATTACCGACCAATGACAAACAAAACTCCAAAGAAAATGTCCGGCAAACAAAACAACCACAACTCCATGTTTTGAAAATAGAGAGATGTACAGGATTGCACATGCATGTCGCAACACTTCATCACTCGTGCCTCGTTATTGTCGTTTTGTATTTTTGTTTTTGATAACTATTCATTGATTGGTGGATTGATTGGTGGATTGATTGGTTGATTGATTGATTGATTGATTGGGTGATTGATTGATTGATTGATTGATTGATTGATTGATCGATCGATAGACCGACTGATCGAATGATTGATTGATTGATCCATTGATTGTTGGGGTCATGGTCGCCCTTGGTTCGTAGGGCAAAATGGATCACTCGATCAAGCAATCAATCACGCACGCCAGTCAGGCGATCGGCGGAGCATTGCAACTGATATATGAATCGATCAATCGACCACAAAGGTACATGCGCACACACACACATATGATCATCGTTTCCGAACATACATCCATGAAAAAAACGAAAGAGGGAGCGCGAAAAAAAAAAACCATGAACAGTGCGAAAGGAAGAAAGAAAAGGAAACAACCAAAAATAGGAAATGAATATGACTCCCGCCATCCAAATGTTAAGGGCATACACATGGAGCACTGCAAATGAGACCTCATGCCTATCGACTTCCATCTTTGCCCATTTTCTATGTACGACGTCGGCGATGGCAAAGCGACACGGGGACCAACACTACCTCTCTCTGCCACTGCCTCTCTCTCTCTCTCTGTCTCTCTCTCTCTCTCTCCCCCACCCTCGGCGGTTGACAATATCCTTCCGCAGCGGATGGCATGAAAAAGGTCACATCACCACTTCCGAACACGCAGGTCATCCTCTGGCATCCAGCTCTGCACAGGACCGTGAAGATAGCCCCTCCCCTCCAACGGCGGGTCGAGTTCGCACCGGTAGAAGGGGGAGTCATCCAGCCGCTCTGCGAACTCCTCCACCATGGCGTCGACGAGGTATCTGATGATGTCACCAACGACATCACGATAGTTACCATCCCATTTGTCCGGAATGATGGGGTTTCGCTTCGAGGCGAAAAGAAGCACGTGAGCCAGGCGACTGGCAGCATCGCATCCCATCCCCGCTGTACTGTCCATTGCGTGCATCCCGTCCACGCGCACCTCATAGTACCTGACTGTGTGACCAGCCACCTCCTTGCAGAACTCCATCTGACGGTTGTGTGCCCTGCCGCACATCCCACGCAAGTGGACGATATCCACGTGGCGCTCGAAAATCGTCTCCGAGACGACAACGACAGTACTCATGACGACCTTCCCTTCTGCTCTCTCTCTCTCTCTCTCTCGCTCTCTCTCTCTCTCTCTCTCTCTCTCTCTCCTGTCTCTTATACACATCTAGATGTGTATAAGAGACAGCGCCTGAACGCAGCAAATGACAAAAGCAGGGTAA